TGAATGCAGGTTGTTTATAAAATATAAAATGACCTTACCGATAGATGCGACTGCGGGGCATCGGTCGAAAAAGTACTTGGAGCATACTTCCCTGAGTTTTTCCGCGTTTATGGCCTTGAAGAAAGAAATTGAAAAACAGACTGTTGAGTTAATTTTAAAGGAAATATGTTGGAGTTGCCAGTATAATCATGTGTAACTTCAGGTTTTAAAGAGAGCCAGTGAATAAGAGAGGAGCAGTTGCGGCTTAGAGCTGCTAGTGAAACCCTAGTATCAGAAACTGAGTGTACTATGAATCGGACTAAGAATAATGTTTCCTCCAATCTGGGGAGGATATCGACCCAGTCGGCCTTTGATCCTCTACGGAGTTACTTCTTTCGAAGGATGCATAGAATTTGTCGAGATTAGAGAAGCTACGTACGGTGTTTGCATTTGGAACTTATTACGGATTTCAGTAATAACCAGTGATACAGTATGCATATGCTTTACAATTTCCTCGCGAACTGCACTTCAGAGGGAGCGAAATGCATGGTTATTTAAGTAACAAGCAGCAACGTAATAAAAGCGGGATTGGTCGACACTGCTTTTTGGGGTACTGCCATTTTAAATAACTGCCTGTGCCTTCGTGGTCCTTAAGAGCTATATGGACGCCTTCGTCCAACAGCTTTTTGCCAGGTTGGGGTGCTAAATACTCCCTACGCCTTCAATTACACATTTCATACATCGAGAGTTGACTAAGAAGGTTAGAGCCTCCAGTGAAGATAACGGCTTAGCAACAAAAGAAACAATTATGGATAAGCCGTGCACAGGTGCAAGGACGTACGTCAATACGTGCCAGCATCTCGTCAATTGGCACTCGCCTTCCGTAGACGAGCATCTGCCTACCAATCTCTTCACATATTGGGGTTGTTCCGTCAAGCTGAAGTAACAAATGTGTCTTCAGTTGGTTTTTGGCCCGCGCAACTTCATGCTCTTTTATTTGAGAGCACATCCTGACCCACTCCTTCGTAAAAGACGACACAGCGTCGTTCAGGGCCATCTTTTCCGAAGTGAAGTAAACTCCCCTACAGGCAAGAGTGTGCGTGAATCGGGCAAAAGATAGGGGCAGTTAAAAGTGAATAAATACGTCAATCAAGTTACCAGAGCGAAGTGTCGTTGTAGCAGGTAAAGAAATGTTGGAAGCTATGAACTGAGCCCTGATTGAAAAACTGGCTAGCCAGTTGACTTGCGACGTTGGATCCACCACCATGTGTACGGTCCCAAGCACCATG